CGCCCTCGCCGCCGCCACCCTGGCCGACGCCCCCGTCGCCGCCGCCACCCTCACCGACGCCGCCCAGCCCGCCTCCGCCAAGCCCGCCACCGCCCTCGCCTCCGCAGCCACCCAGGCCGCCTCCGCCGAGCCCGCCGCCGCCCGTGCTGCCCCCACCCTCGCCATACGCTCCAGGGGTGTTCATCTTCTGGCCCGCCATTTTGCATTCGATCGTCTTTGATGGCACGCCCGACGATCTAGACGCTGTTGAGTATGCGCGCCTTCTCGCCACTGTTTGGCAGCAGCATGGGGTTACAGACACGCACAGCGTCTTGAGCAGCCGGAGACGAGCCGACAGCTGCACCGATGAGACCATATCGGTGATGGCCAGCATGCCGCGCACGGACGTGAGTGAATCGCAACTCGCCGCAGTAGAGGTGCAGGTGCGCGACGCCGCCCAAGAACTCGGTCTCAACAACTTGACCAGCCTTGCCCAGAAGCTGGGTGTACGCGTCGTGCACCAATCTGGCGAGCTGCGTTTTGACACTATCGCGCTCAGCGCGACCCCAACGTCGCCACCAGCGGAGCCGGAGCCATCGCCGCCGTCACTGCCACCCTCATGCGACAACTCATGCGGCGCGACAACCTGCCTGCAGCTGCGAGGTATTCTATCGTGCGAAGATCTCATCGTAAATCTCGGCTGCGATTGTCACGGCTGCTGCGTGGACAACAGACCCTCACCAGGCACGCCGCCGCCGCCGCCAAGCACACGACCCTCGCCACCGCCACCGTCAGAGTCTCCGAAATCGCCGCCGCCGCCGTCGCCGCCGCCGTCGCCGCCGCCCTCGCCGCCGCCCTCGCCGCCGCCGCCCTCGCCGCCGCTCGACTGCCCGTGCCTCACCGCCTACCCGGCCGGCGTCAGCCTCGTGAGCGGCGAGGTGCAGGTCGTCGCGGCGGACGGCGTGAGCCTCGCGTACCCCGGCACGTACGGCCTCCACGGGTGCGACTCGCACGACAGCGGGCTCGAGCCGTCCTGCAACTCGACCGGCTACCCCGGCTGGTGCGAGCACGAGTGGTGCTACGTCGACCCGACCGCGTGCAACACCGAGTACAGCACGACCGCGTACGTGGTGGGCGCCACCCTGCACTACTCGTACCGTGCGTGCGGCTTCAGCAACGAGTTCGAGAGCTGGTTCTACCAGCCGCCGCCGCCGCCGCCGCCGCCCTCGCCGCCGCCGCCCTCGCCAACGCCGCCACCACCGATAAGAGTGGTTCTCCAGATCGGGCAAGCGTTCAATACTGAATCTCAGGTGACGTTCAGTGACGTTCAACTCCAAACGTTGATTGAAGAGGCAATCGCGAACATCACCGAGATTCATAACTTAACGGATGTCTCGGGCGAGGTCATAAGTGCGTTCGCCACATCGCCCACACTACCTCCGTCAGCTCGCCGACTTCAAGATGCTAAGACACTCACTGTTGAGCCTGATACTTCTGCGTGCAACGCGGGAGCACTTGGATCAATAATCGGCATCGTGATGCAAGCGACTGGTAGTGAAGCGGAGATTGAAGAAGCCCGAGACGCGATAGCTCAGGCCGTCCGAGACGTGGCCATACGCATTGACGAGGAAATGACGGCTTGCTCAGAGCAGGTGATTTCGAAACAAGTAGTGTCGGCGCCGCCGTCGCCGCCGCACATACCAACCGCTCGCCTGCCCGTGCCTCACAGCCTACCCGACCGGCATTAGCCTTG